AGTGAGATGGTCAGTATGGCTGAAGTAATGTCTCAGCACTGTGATACACAGCAAAGCATTACTGTGTAATTTGTCAGTTTCTATAGGAAGTAGTTCAGAAATTCTGAGTCTTACTAAAGTAGGTAGTTTCTTTTTCTCTTATGTTTCTGAGTGTTTTTGATAGGTGACGAATGCAGCATTGGTTCAGCAACAGACCTGACTGAAACAAGTTCTATGGTGGATGGTGACTGGACCATGGTGGATGAGAACTTCTCCAGTCAAAGTTTAACTCAGTCGGAGCTAGAACATATCTCTTTAGAACTGGCTAGTAAAGGGCCGCACAAGTCACAGGTCCAGCTGCGGTAAGTAACGTGATCTTTGCATTTGAAACTTAAAATGACTAGTGCACAGCATTAGAAGAATTAGGAGAAAGGAACACTGTCTACAGAATCACACTGGGATTTTGTCTTCAGAGCGGAAAAAGAAATAAGTGGACTGTTTTTCCATGCAGGTACTTGTTACATATCTTCATGGAAGCAGGATGTCTGGATTGGTGTATTATCATAGGCCTTATCCTCAGAGAATCTTCAGTAATCAACCAGGTTTTCAGTATAATGCAATCCTCTGATATTGATGGAGAAATCTGTCAGAATATCAAGACTGGCCTATATGCTGTTGACAAATGGGCTTCTACAGATTGGTAAGTGTAATTTTCCACCTTCACTTTAATTCTGGTTGTAGATAACTAGTTACTTAAAAAGATAACTTTGAGTTATCTCAGCCCTAGCTGAAACAAGTATTTAAAAGCACTTTTGCAGAATATTTCAGGACAGTCACTTAATACTGTTGTGATCACACTGGGGGGGGGAAAACCCACAACCCCAAAACAACCAACCCACCAGCTTTTATTGTTTGAGTACAGTTGCCTTTTTCCCCTCTGTTTAAAAAACAAACAAAAAACAAAAAAACACCTAAGTTTCTGTATAAGAAGGATTATAGAAGATACTTACATTCACCATCTCCCAAGAAATGCTGCTTTTCAGGCGTTATGACAGAAGTACTATTTTTTTTAACTCATGGTGTTCTGTACCATTATTTTCCTAGCCCAGGGTACAAGCCATTTCTAAATATCATCAAACCACAGATCCAGAAACTAAGTGAAATAGCAGAAGAGCAAGTACAGCCTGAAGCTTTTCAGCCAGTGAATCCTTCTAAGGTTACCGAACAACCGAACCCCAGAGCTGAGGAAAGCAGGACTTCATCTAGCCATGGCACTAATCCTCAGAGTGATGCTGGCAACAGCAGTGCAAGCAGGCACGAAGAGGACAGGTCCAAGACTGAGGATGAGGATTCATTCCAAGAAGGCCGTTATGACTGTACTGTGTCTTAAAAGGAGGATTAACAACTTCCCAAACATCAGGTGTGAAAGGAAGCAAACCAGCTCTTAGACATGCTTCCATGTTTTGGATTTGAACTCTCTTTTTCTTTTTTTTTTTACATATATATATATATTTCAATCTTTGAAATCTTTAGTGGGGATAACTAAGCAGCAGTTTCATCTAATGATTTCAAAAGGAGGCAAGACTTTTTTTTTTTTTTATCCAATCTTCAGACTGCAGCTTTAGGTTTTGATACTTCCAATAGTGTTGAGAGGCAGTGAATACATAAGGAGACAGGTTCAGGTAATGTTCATCAGTACCTTTACATCACCAACACATGTTCTTGAGAAACTACTTATCTCTGGCTTGAGTTTAAAAGATGAAGAGGGGATTAAATTTAAAAACTGTGATCCTTCGCAGCTTGCCTGCCTAAGAAATATCTGATGAATGCAGTTCAGATTGGTTTGATATTCGTATTTTGTATTAAAGGACTGTAAAATACATTGTATGTTTTTGTGAATACTCTTGTACAAATACTCGAGGATGTACCATATTTGAAGGTACCTGTATGTATTGTGCATGTTTCTAGATGACTAGTAAAGTTAAAGCGGAGTTGCACTTCTTTCTGGATGAGGCATACTTTACTGACCTAACAGTGACACACGGTGGCTGACCTGTTTTTTACTGCCACTTACAGATCTTGTAGTTGGGTTTAAGGGATTGCTGAAGGTTATTTATTTCATTGTAAATTCTTTTCTGAAAAATGGATTTTAAAAATGTAAATAATCATCGTATACTCTTGCTATGGAAAATTAGTTTAACAGCTCATACTTAAACATTTTTCAAATATTTTATAATACGCATACTTGCAACTAAGACATATTTAACTTTCATACAATGTTATGGAAAGCTGGCTGCAGAAGTCTGTTGCTTTGAGGTACTTATTTTTTCTAGCTGCTGTCCCTATGTAATAACTACCTGTAACAGTATTAATTTAGATATTAGCTTGTTTGTACTGTGCAATCTGAACAAAAAATGCAACATTATTCATTTTATACAAAATAAACTAGTTTATTTTTTATAACATCACTTGATTACTGACATGGACCAAACTAGTCATCATAGGGTAGTTACAGCATCTGTTGCTTTTCTAGTGTAGTTACTAAATGCACATCCATTTAAACTCTGAAAATTAAGAATATTCACAGTTAAGTTGAAATAAATTGTGTTTTTATCATCTTTAGCTCTTTTGTAGATAAGATCAAGTGCTTTAAAATGTACAAATATGAGAACTGTTGCTTTAGAGTGGCTTTACTAAGCCAATACAACCAGTGCAAGTGCAATAATTGCGAGTATTACTTGGAAGGCTGGAGATTTTAGTGAATGCAGCTTGAATTTCCATTTAAGAGTTGAAGCTAATTTTGAAGTTAAAGGAAAAAAATCTGGTTTGAGAGTCGCAGCATTAACCTTAGTCTGCATTGTATCCACTGGTTACAGGTAATGTCTATCATACCTACAAGCCTGTTGTGGTCTGACATCAAAATCCATTGTTGTTATAAGGGGATACTTAAAGCTTTTTTATGATAAAAAAACTGCTTAATCTATGTTAAAAGAAATAAAAACTGTGCTTCAAGTTAGTATTTTTCTGTTGTTGTACAAGTAAAAACATACATTAACTGATATACTAGCATTCTTAATATTAGTCTCTTACTACTGTGCTACTGTTGTTTAGCAGTTAAATCTTTTTAGTTGTGAAATTTTAGAAGTTTGTACTTCTTTAGTAGTAATTATCTCTATGCAAATCTTACGTGCTAATTTTGTATTTCAATTTCACTGCTGTTATACCTATAATTAAAAGACAAATGTATTCAACTTTACTTGAAGTTACTCCTGTGGAAAATAACTATTTCTGACGTCAAGCCATTGACAGTAAATTTATTGGAATTCAAGCAGGTTGTCTCAGAGAAACAAAGCTCTCGAAGAAGCGACCTGATGAAGATTGTTTTTAGTTTGCCACATCATACCCCTGTGGCCTGTTGTACAGGATGAAGGCATCAAGCTTCTAAGTTAAAAATCGCCTTATTAGTACATCTTTGAAGCTACATCCAACTGTTGTTTTGAACAGAGGCATATTGGGTCTAGGTGGCAAGGGTTTGGTAGCAAGGGAGGCTGCAGGTGGGGCCTCGGTGAGTGGAGCCCAGGAGCTGCCCCTGTGTTGGGCACCCACCACAAGACACAGCAAAGCCCATCAGCCAGGCTGGTGCCGCCTCTCTTAATACATTTAACAAGGGGTAAAAAAGTGCTGTGCAGCAGCTGTGAGAGAGATGAGCCATGAAAAAAAGATGTGAGGAACAGTCCTGCAGCCAGCCAGGCCCATAAAAGAGGAGATGCTCCTGGCACTGGAGAGAAGATCCCCTGCAGGCTAGGGATCTGTGCAAATAAACACAGACATTAACTGGTGTGCTAACATTCCTCATAGTAGTATCTTGCAACTGTACTACTGTTCAGCAGTTAAATCATTTTAGACCATGGTGAAGCAGGCAGTCCCCCTGCACCCTGTCGAAGCAGATGATGCCCACGCTGCAGCTTGTGGAGGACCCACCCGAGAGTGGATGAGCCTCGAAGGAAGCTGCAGCCCACGGAGACCCAACGCAGAGGCAGGTCTTCTGGCAGGACCCATGCTGGAACAGTCTGTTCCTGAAGCACTACCCCATCTTGACTGGAGCAGTTGATGAAAGGCTGTATCCCATGGGAGGGATGCCATGCCGGAGCAGAGAAACAGCGAGCAGGAAGGAGCAGCAGAGAGGAACTGTTATGGACTGACCACAACCCAACCCTCAGCTATCATCCATGACCCCTCTGCGCCATTGTGGAAGAGGCGGTAGAAGAGTGAAGTTGAGTCCGGGAAGAAAGGGGAGGTTGGGGGAAGGTGTTTTGTTACTATCCTACTTTGTTTCTAATTGGCAGTAAATTAAATCAATTTCCCCAAGGCCAGTTTGTTTTGCCTATTATGGGAGATCCTGTCTCAACCCATGACCTTTTTCATCTTATTTTCTCCTCCTGGCCTGCTGAGGAGAGGGTGCAAGAGCAGTTTTGTGGACACCTGCCCGCCAGCCATGGTTAAACCACCACAGAAGGTTTATTCATCTACAACAACGCACTATTACCTTGACCTAAACATAGGAAAAAGGGGCTGTTTAGCCAGCTGAGGGTCAACATTTTCTATGGAATTCCAACTCAGTGTCTCCTCTCACTTTGCTTACCCAGCTCATGTAAGACTGGCTGCCCCAGTTCTTGCCAGCCTGGCCTACTTAAGCATTTAATAGCACCTTCACCAGCATTTGCATATCATCAAGTCTTCTTGATCTGGTTTTCACCCTGTACAAAACTGATTGCCTCTGAAAAACAACAATGCTGGATTCCTTGCTACTTGTTTAAAAAATCCTCTCATGCAGGGTATACTTGCAAAACTGCTTGAGCCAGGTCATATTTCTGAGGATTATTCTCACCATCACTTTTGTTAACCAAACGAAGCTAATTATTCACCAGTGTGTTTTAGTCCAAAGCAGCCAATTTAAAGTTTTGAAGCTGAAGTGTCTGTAAGCTACAGGTTGAGATCCCCTGCTAAGTAAACAGAAATACATGAATACATCATCTAGCCAGAACCTGTACAAAAAAAGGTCCCTTCTTTTCATTATAAACTGGGGGGAGAAGTTGTCTGCAGCTGTAATGATATTATAAAGGATGATGGGTAGCTCACTGAAGGTGGCAAGCTGGCTTCAGCTGAAGGAAGGAGAACTTCATGTCTCACCATAGTTTCCTACCCTAGAGCTGAAGACAGCTCAGAATCTAATGGGCAGGCGAGATGAATGCCAGCTTACGGTGAGTGGCAAAAGTAGTCTCAGTGCTTAACCACAGAAAAGGGAGGAGCTGTCTCGTACCACTTTGAAAGAAAGACACAAATTGCTCTTGCTCAGCTTCATGTTCATCATGTACCACCTGAAGTCAGTAAGCTCAAGGATCTTCCATCAGAGAGCACCGAGATGTCACAGAAGCCCAAAACCGGAGGCTGAAGCTAGCTAAACAGCTCAGACATGAGGCACTTAAACCACTCTCTCATAACTTTTTTCAAACTACTGTTGCCTATCAAAAAAAGGAACACCCCACAGAGAAAAAAAAAAGATCCCTGAATAAACCATGCATGGGCAGCTTTCTGTGACAGTTACTTGTGTTCGTTCCAGAGCCTCTGACCAGACCAACAGAATTACTCCTTTCTAGAAGAACTACTGCCAACTTCCAGGACTGATTCTTACACCTTTCTCAGACTGAAATTATTGTTACAAAATGTTTTAATGGCCAGTGATGCTCGACACACTGCTTGAAATGTGGGTAGCAGTGACCAGATCTCCCTGAACTTGCTTCTACTTCCTGCTCAAGTCTCAGCTTTATCCTTGGCGTATTCTCCAGCTGCATCTGCAGCTTTGACAGAACCATGAAGTGTCACAGCACAACAGAACCTCTTCTGCAGTCAACAGGGAAGCCAGACGAATTTCTAGGACTATTTTATCCTCTGAGACTGCAACAGATTTTCATGAAGACTGAGAAGTCACGTTCTGGCTTCATAACAGAAGTCACACTTAGGCAACTTCATGCTGCCTAACGACACAGCTTTGTGACAGCACTTGGGGTTACTGATCCTGTGTGGCTTTTTAACCATCCTTCACCAAGGCTGCACATCAAGTTCTAAGATGCATCATCCTGCAGGCTCCTTTCAGATTATCATCAAGAACCAGATTAGGTTTAGCCCTGAAGGAAGAAAGTACTGAGCAGCATTACCACGCAGGGAAACTCTTCAGCACCTACGTCCCGTATGCTGAAATTAGCCCTGTACAGACTTGTTAGATCTTGTCTATTTGATTAGTGTTTTTCCAGCAGGCTTGCAACCCAACCTAAGAGTGAACAGACATTAAAGACAGGTCTTGCTAACACAGAACAGCTCCACTCAGCACAG